GAAACCAGCTCGCCGGATGTGTTCACCCGCTCCAGACACTCCCTCCTCACCTTCCTCCCTGGGGGTCACTGTCCTAAGCATCACTGACACCTCCTTCCTGATTTCTTCACACCCGCCACCCCAGCTTCTACTGCCCACCCCTCCCCGTCACATCCCCGCAGAACTGCTGCGGCCGAGCCCATGCGGCCTAAGTCGAGGGGCTCTCCTGGTCTAACCCCTGGCCTATTCTGTAGCATTCCCTCATTCCTGGAACACGGATGCGAGACACTACCCTTTCTGAGTGCTCTTCCCAGCCCCAGGCTGCTCCTTCTCAGCCCCCTTTCCTCTGCCACCCCTTAAATGTCAGCAGCCCGCGGGTTCTCACTCGGGCCTGCTTCGCCCTGGATGAGCTCATCTACTCCCGTGCCTTCAAACCCAGATGCCTCCAATATCTGCGTCTCCAGGCCAGATCTCTCCCCTGGCTTCCAGACTCAAATGTCTAATTTCCTGCTGCATAGTTCAGCCCACATGTCCAAACCTAAGTCCTCTCCTACTCCCGCAATGCTCCTCCCTCTGGATTCACTATCTCGAAGGCTGACCCGCCTTCGCTCTCCCTGCCACCTCCCTCCACATCCGGTCAATCGCCAAGCCTGCTTTTTACTCCTGGGCGCAGCCACTTCCTCCCCCATCCCTCCCCAAGGCTCCGATGCAGTCTCCTGCCCTCCCTTCCCACAGCCCCCGCCTCCACCCCCGCCCTGGTGTCCTCATCCTGGCGCTGGTTCCCCAGACTGTGATCACCGCCATCACATCTGTCCCCCACAGCAGACTCGGAGCTGACAATGGCAAGGGCTACATCTAGTGACTAGCACAGGGCCTGGGATGTGTTCAGTTGATACCTGTTAAATACATAAATGAATAGAAGAAGTGACGAGCCCCAGATGACAGCGGGTTATACAATGTGGAAAGAATAACGGCTCAGAGCTAGCATCTGGAAGGGGGAACGCAAGCACGGTCTCCAGCCCTCCGACGAATGAGATCTGCGAGACCAGGAGTCGTGCTCGGAAAAAGGCGGGAGGCCCCTCGGGAGAAGAAACTCACCAGCTACGTGACTTTGAGCAAAATGCTTCACTTTCCTGGTCTCGGTTTCCTTATCTATAACATGGGCATAAAATATTTACCTCAGGGGACTCTGTGAAAACCAAATTGGATAACACGGGTAAAATGCTTAGCACAGAGTCTGACCCAGTAAGTTGAGCCTAGTGTTCAATAAATATTTTTTAGATTGTTTTCATTGAAGACGAGAGGAAGCGGGACGTTCAGTGACTGGGCTGACGGTGTGCGGGAGTTGGGAAGGCAGACGAGCCTTGACAGAGAAGGGGGATCCGCAGACAGACTGGGGAGAAAGCCCAGGGTGGGGAGGAAGAGTGGGAGAGAGCGGAGGGGCTGTGGGGGGCACCCGTGTTCTCCTTTGGGCCACCGTCCTCAGCAGCTTCCTGTCAGAGCACCTTGACTCTCCCTGAGGGACCACACTCCTCCACGCTCAGTGCATGTGGCCTGCCCTCCCCCACCCCCACCGACACGGGGAGCCCCGTTTCCGAGACCTGGCCAACCCCGGCCTCCCGTCCTGCTGGTCAGAGTGATGAGCTCAGGGTGAACAGGCTGGGACACAAGCCGGGGCAATCGGAGGCCCTGAGTCTCAATTCCAGGACATCAGGTGCTAGTGCGACCAAAAAAGAGGCAGGACTTGTCCGCCTTGATTGCCCTCGGAATGGGACGGGCCGGGGGCTGCTGGCAGCTGCTTCGCAACCACGGAGGAGACGGCCGCCTGGGAGGGAGCCGGCGCAGAAGCCAGAGATGGGTGCCTAGGCCGGCTGGTGCGGCCCAAGTGCCCTCCCAACACGTAAAGTCCAGTCACTCCCTGGACTTCGTTCCATAGCCACTGAGGCGACTTTGAGCTGGGGTTTCTGTCACTAGGAGCTATGACTATGTATATAGGAGTCCACGGGAACAGTTAAAGCGGTCCTCCAGGGAAAGATCCTGGGAACCTTTTGGCCCTGCCTGATCTCCATTAGTATATAATTGTCAGGGACCCAGAGAGAGGAGGAGACTTGCCCAAGGCCTCAAAGCAAAGTAGCAGCAGTGTCTGCACTGGGACCAAGGCCTCCCAATTCCCTCTTCCTCTCTTTCTAATTATTCAGCATCTTCAGGACACGATCTCAACATCCGCCAGCAATTAGGCCCGAGCCTCAACTTCTTCCAGCCCGCAGTTCCCACTCCCCTGCACCTTTTGGTTAAAGCTAACCTTGACTGTTTACTGTGTGGCAAGTGCTGAGCTAGACCTTTTACATCCAGGAGTCTCATTAAATCTTCCAAAACCACTTGAAATGATTACACGAGGAAGGCGAGGGGCTGAAAGACAGCCCAAGATCATACAGCTAACCAGCTGCAGAGCTACGATGTAAACCCAGGTCTGTTTGATTTCCTGTAACCACAGCTTCTTAGCCTGCTGTCCAGAGACCCCTACAGTGTTTGTGCACAAGCTTCAGTGTGGGGGGCAGCAAACTCATTAAAATTAAATTAAATGTAAAATTACATATGTGTGCACTTATCTGGAGGCAGGTTCATATACGATTTGTCAGATTCTAATAAATAAAAACACATGAGCCAAGAAAAGTGGGGAACCTCTGTGCTTTATGCTGAACTCCTTGGGGCCGGGACATAAGCCTGGCCCATGACAGACCCTTAGTGACCTTGGCCAGGCTCCCGTCTCGGCCATTCTAGGAACCAATCCCAAGGGACTCAGGCCCCATGGAGAAGCAGGCAAGCCCACAGGGCCTGATGAGGCCACTGGCCACTGAGTTTCTGGTTTGGCCACAAGGAACCTCAAATCCCCTGGTAAACTGTTCCAATCCGCTGATCAGCACATTTCCCCTTCTTTTCCCCCTCGAACATTCGGATGCTTACTACATACCAGACACCGTGCTAAGACCGCCCCACATGCCACTTCATTTCATTTTGATAACAACCATGCAAGGTGAATACTGTCACTGTTCTCATTTACAGATAAGGAAACTGTGGCTCGGAAGGTAAGTGACCTGCTTTCCTTTATCTGGGTCTGACGAGGAGCCGTGCTCTTACATGTGGAAGTCTGCCAGGAAAGGAGGCCAATCGATTCATCTCGGAGAAAGCAGCTCCAGTGGCAGACCAGGCCTGGCCGCTGGCCAGTTTACAAACCGGAGCCACCAGGATTGTGTCCAGGAGCTGCTCCCTCTGTGTAGCTGACAGGCTGGCAGAAAGACCATTTCTCAGAGCATTGTTTGGGAAAACGTGACTGACTTTACTCTGGCTCGCTTCACTGGTCTGATCCGGACACACTGCGACTGTTCACAGAGCAAGCCACACCGCCCTCTGCCAAGCTGACCTGGCCTCCGCGTGCAAAACAGATGACATCAGGACCCCCAGCAGCCCTCCTCTGGGAGCTCTGCGGCTGGTCAGAGGTGGGACGGAGCTGGCTCCTAGTCACATAGTTTTGCTAAGGAAACTATGAATCCCCTGATAGTGTGTGCGCATCTGTTTTTGTTTTGTTTTGTTTTGTTCTGGGTTTTTTGTTGTTGTTGTTGTTTTTAAAGACTAAGCTTGGTTGAAAAGTGAAAGATTTTGAAAAGAAAGAAAAAAGAAACCAAAGGTTTCAGAACGTCCCTTTCCAAAACAAACGATGTGCAGTCCCTACCACAGCTGGATCTAGGCCTTTCTTAGTTCCTGTTATATCTCATAAAACAGCAGTAATGCTAACTCCAGCCTTGATCTTAGGACCACAGGCTGGTGCCTCCAGATCCGAGGCTCCTGCTGCATCTGGGGTGGAGGCCGAGGCTGCGGAAGCCTGGGGAGGGCTGAGTAATGGTGAGGCACAGGACCTGGCATTTCCGAGGGAGGGCCCAGCTGCAGAGAAGGCCCACGGGAACCCAGGCCCATCACCCAGAGGTCCAGTCACGCAGGTTACGTAACCTCTAGGCCAATGCCCTCAAGTGAAACCAGAACAACAAGGAAAACTACCGACGGCACCCCTGTGGGGTTTGTTCTGTCCAAGGGGGTCGTGCGGGGTCCTTTCCACCAAGATCACGTTCTGGCAGGTCTGGCTGAGCAATGAGAAGCCCTCCCCACTCAGTGGGCCCACGTCCCTGCTATCAGTCCAACAAGCAGGGGTGCAGATCTTCATTCCCGGAGCAAAGGTTCAGTTAGACCAGGCTGATTTACAGCAGTACGTGTGGAGCTGGTGACCAGGAATTCAAAGAAATTCAATTCAAGACGTGTTTCCTGAGCACCTCATTCACTCGCTGCACCTGTATGTACTGAGGGTCGGTGGCATGCCTGAGGCTGAGCAAGGCCGTGGGGGGCACAGTGATGAACAAGGCAGACATGATTCCTGCCCTCCTGGAGCCCACAGGCTGGCGAGGAGGATGGAGACTGAAGGGTCACGCAAAATGAGGACAGATGAGTAAAGGGCCACATGGGGAGACCCTAAACGGGCTGAGGATTCACAAAAGACCCCTCGAGGAAGTGCCATTCGAGCTGAGTTCCGATCGGGGACTGAACGGGAACGAAGAATTCTGAGCTGAGAAGACCGCCAAGCATGATGGGACAGGATATGGTGCATCAGGAAAGAGAGAGAAGGCCAGGGTGGCCGAAACCCGCAGAGCAGGGCGGAGGGACAAGAGATGAGCTGGAGGGGTGGATGGAGCAGATCCACTGTGCAGGACCCTGCAGAGCAATCAAGGTGCTTGCACCCTAGCTTATAGGGAATTGGAAGCCACGGAATCAATTAAATCCAGCAAAGATGGATTCAGTTTCGCCTGCTGGGTGACAAAAAGGACTGCGATACACAGCCGTTCCTGAGGGTGGCGGGATCAGGAACAGGGTCTGGCCCTGGAGCTAGGTGCCTGGGACTGACCCCTGGCAGGGCTCCCAGCCCACGGGGGACATCCTTACTTACTGGACAGGCACATGCAAGGGGTGTTGCTTACCTGGTTAAACCTCCGGGTAAAGGCCACAACGTTCGGGGCGAGACTATGTTTCTCCTTCTTACTCCATCCACAGCTGGCTAGTTCCTAGGAAGCAAAGAGTCCATTTCAGCAGCGATTCTAATGGGACACAAGCACACCGGGAGCATCTAGCTGACTGTGGACGGGAGGTGGGGAAGGGCTGAACCTTGGCCATCTGTATCTTCGCCAGGGTGGGCGAGGATCCCCCTCTTCCGGGAGAAGGGCTGAGCCGACAGGTGGAGGTGCTTCCTGGGAGGACCCCCACCCCCAGGAGTGAGGAGGAGACGTGGGATACCTTCTCCACAACCCCAGCCCCGTTTCCCAGGACTTCTGTGTCAAAACAGTCTTAATCCTACCACTGCCACTAGAACCAGAAGTCCCTTCTTAATGCACATGGTCTGAGAGGGGACACAATGTTTTCACTAGTGGGACTCATTCCCCCAATAGGCAAACTTAAAACTTCAATCTGGCTGCAGACTCTCAGATTTCGTCAACTATGTGACATCCTCCATTCCCAGAGTCAGGAAAAGTCTCAGTCCCAGCCCACAGCCATCAGAGAAGCCTCTGGAATTACCTCGGGTTCCTTCCTGAAGTGGGCCCCTCCCATCTCCCATACAACCGAGAGGGGGCCGGAGGGGAGGGCCCCCTGAACATCGTTTTCAGGGCCTTGCCTCTTCTTTCCCAACAGCTTTAGCGTTATAATTTGATCGAATTACCTAAATTTACCTATTGGCGAGGCTGGTTCCTATCCAAGGGGATAACGGGCATCTAATGCGACTGCTTGGGGGGTTAGATAAAGGAGCAAGGAAAAGCCACTATCTAAACACCCAGCATTCCCAGCTTGTGCCCTGGGGAGCCCTATAGAATGGAGGGAAGGCAGATTTTAAAGGTTTCTGCCCCTAAGTTCAAAGACCTCCTTTTGATTGATATTGGGCCTTCGTATTACTAATAAAATTATTTGGCACACACCTGGAACTTTTATAAGCTCTTTTGTGAGAGCCAGCTGCCCGCCGGCCGGCACAGACACAAACCAGGGTCTACCAGGAGGTTGGGGAGGGCAGTGGGAATGGCCAGAGACAACACATGTTGGCTGAGCAGTTGTGCCCGACGTGCTGGGCCCTTCGAATGCATCTTGAGACCCACTATGCACCGCAGACAAGCACTGGTGGGAAGCCTGGCCAAGAGTGATGGGCAGCTCTGGATACAAATGAATGACCCGGACTTGAGAATGACTGGGAACCAACCAGGAGCTAAGAAACAGCTGCACTTCCTGGCTGCCTCGCTTCTGTAAATGGCATCATCGTCACCCTCCCAGTCGCTCACATGAGAAAACACAACCACCCTTGACCCTTCCACGTCCTTCGCGCCCTCACAATGTAGACCCCAAATAACAGTAATGGCGATGATGTTGACTAATGCTGCCGTTTTATCAAGAATCCCCCATGCGTCAGGCGCTGGACGAGGCACTGCACCTGTCATCTCGTGTAATCCTCACCACACCCATTTTAACCAAGAGGAAAAGGGCTCGGTATTATCCATTTTCATGAATAAATACTTAGACTCAACTTCTTTTCAAAAGTACACACGAATCTCTTTGAGAGATGGAATTTACCTCTGTTTACTACGCTTTTCCTTGTTCTGAAAATGTATATTTGTGTCTGTTTTCAAATACATATTTGACCTAACTCAGTGACAGTCCTTCTCCCTCCCCTCCCCACCTTTAGAACACGTATTTTAATCATTTTGCAAATATCTATTATTGCCCGTTTGAGGTTTAATTGTGAAGACAAGAACCTTCTCCCCTGATAATCCCAAAGCCAGTCCTGGAAAGGTATGGGTTATAATCAGATATAAAAGAGAATTCTCAAAACTGATATTCAAGGACTGAGGCACGGCTGTTGCCCAATTTCTGGCTGAGAGTTGCCCCTTAGTTTTTTCCTGAATGCTTAATAAAGAGCAAAAATCATATACACATACATATGCGTAGATGTGTGTATGCGTCTACGTTTAATTCAGAATCTGTGGTCCTATTTCCACGCCGTAAGTAACACAGGAAGGCATCCTAAAGGGAGCAGAAGGGCCTTCCGGTTAGACAGACTGGGTCAGATCCTGGTCCTCTGCACATCAGCTGCGCATGCAAGTGCGTGATAAAGGCTGTCTCGCCACCGCTTCCCAGGGTCACGCTGCTATGAGACTCGGCTCCCACTCTAAACATCCTCTTCTTCCTCCCACACCACAGTCTTGGTGCTGTCTTGAATTATTTAAAAACTTACTATCATCTCCCTTTCGTTTTACCAATGTCATGCAGGCAGGAACCAAAGCAGGTACTTAATACATCTGCCTGAGTTTACTCGACTTGAACATTTCCAAACCCTGACTCAATATCTGTACATGCAGTTCTTGGGTTCAGACGGTACCCTACGGAAGCTTCTGCAGAGGAAGGCTTGCGACATTTAAAACTAAAACCTCGACAGAGTCAAACGTCGTTGAAGAGGTTTCTTGATGAAATGGAAGGAGCAAAGGACTTAAAAGCCAAAGATCTTGCTCCAGATTCCAGCCCTGTCACTTAATTCCTGGGCGACCTCGGGCGGCAGTCTCATCGCTGACGATAACAGGGATGCTGACAGTAACTACGCAGAATTGTGGCAGAGACCAAAAGAGAGCCTGAGAAAAGAGGTGACGTGCAGGACACAGGCCTGGCTCACGGCAGACGCCAGCAGCATTTGCTGAATGAATGGAGGATGAGTGGTCCTCGGTGTTGAAATCGCCCAGTTTCAGTGCAGAAAGATTCATCAAGATGTCAAAAGAAATAAGATCACTCTATCTACACTACAACAAGTCCTTGGCACTGTTCCTCTTCAGTGTTTGGCCTTGCAGGATTACGAGAGATTCCATCTGTGTGAAGTGGGTTTGGAAAATGTGAGCTAACAGAACAAAACTCTTCCAGTCACTAATGCCTAAAAGAGGTCCATGCTATGGAACTGCTTGGAGCGCAATTAAGTTAAAATTGACCAGAGGCGACAGGGCAGGTTTCGGCTGGTAAGGCGCTGGTGGCTCTGCATCATCGAGGGGCCACTCGGCTGTCCCCGGGCTGCGCTCAGGGACCCCCGACCGTGCCCAGGATCTCCTCGGCTCCGAGTCCTCTGCTGAGGTCACCTGGATGCGAAGGAGAACGGGCGCCTGCACTGTCCTGTGCCGGCTTCTTCGGGGACCTCTCCTCCGTCACCTGGATGTTTTCCAGGTTCATCAGAGACAAAAAGAGATGTGAGAAGAAACCTTTCTGCCACAGATGGACAGATGCACCTGTCCCCTCTCCTCTCCTGGCCCTATCCTCTCAGGCCCCACTGTCCACTGCAGCCTGGGTCTCCTCCCCTCCCCCTGCTCAGAGGCCTCGCTCCGATGCCCACTTCATCCCTGTATCTTCAGCCTCCTCCTCACCAATTTCTTCTTCCCGCTTCTTAGCATTTTAACGTGCATACGCCTCTCCGATTAATAATAATAATGGTGACGAAGATAATAATGACAGTAACAGCAAATGACATCTTTTCTAGACCTCCTGCCTCTCCCAGCTCCTGCTCACTGTCTCCCTCCCCTCAGCGGTGAATTTCCCGACAGGGCTGTCGGTTCTCCGGGTTCTGGGTTCCGACCCGCTCCGCTCTCCGCCTCCCTCCACCTCCTGCTCCACGGAAACCGTCCCTTCCTGTACAGTGACAACTTCCTCCGCCGTAGTTTTCACTCCCTGCCCTTCCCTTCGCCCTGTGCTCCCCTGGCTGCCGTCTCGCCTCTCAGGCCCGCCCATTCTCAGCCTTATTTTCCAGTGGCTGTTCTTCTTTTCTGACACGTGTCCCCCGCCTGCTCCTAAGTCTGTTTAGGGTGGTCTTCTGTACTCTTCTGTGTCTATGTTCCTCCCTGCAAGATCACGTGTACTGCTGTGGCTTCCACCACGTGTCCACGTACAGCCCAACCTTCTCTCCCGAGCTCCAGCTGGGACAACAGCTACCTCCTGGCCACACCTTCCTTGGCATCCCACGGGCGCCTCGAAATCAGCAGGCCCAGACCAGAAGGGTGCCTGACCACCTACCTTAAATAAAAAGCACATAACGACATGAGATACGTTTAGACGTCCATTCTGACAGTCAAAGGAGAATGTTTATTACAAAGAAACTGTCTATGGAAAAAAAATCCCTAATTGACGCAAAAACAACTTTGTCTTAATACTCCCTTCGGCAAGCATTCCTAGGTGACAGCAAAAGTCACCACTGGTTTTAGCTCACCCTGCAAAGCTTCTCTGGGCCACGCTGCCAGGAGCATCCCCAGCAGCTGCCAGCTTTGTGCTTAGGGGTCTGGGAGTCAGATGCCCAGAAGGGGCCTGAGAAAGGCTTGACCCTGACCATGTCCAGGGTCAGTGAGGCAGAGACCTGAGGAGTGGGACCAGTTCTCCGAGGGCCCCACAGGATCCGGGCTTCTGGGCCACCGGAGTCTTGTGCTAACACGTGGCACTTCCACACACACACTTCCCCCTGATGGCCATCGTCTCCAAATCACGTCCCTAAAACGGGCCACAGGGAAGCTGCAGCGCCTCACGGAAAGGTCACCGGATCTGGCCCCAGGGACCACCGCCAGGCTGGCAGCCACCAACACCATATTACTATTCTGCTCAATGGCAACCTTTTCTCCTCCCTCCTCCCTCCGTGCTTCTCCCCACGCCTCCCATCTTATCCTTTGGAGGAATCTTCAGAACTGGTGGGACCATCACACGCTCAGTCGAAGGAGTTCTGAAAACACCCCGGGGAATGGGAGTCCCACGGGGCAGTGGGCAAAGGCAGCGCCAGCTCTGGGTGGGGGGCGGGTGTGACTAAGGAGTAAGGCCTTTCGGGGCTCTCGTACCTCGCTACTGGGTGTGAAAAATGATAGGACAATTTGGGAAAGCAGTTCAGCAGTTTCTTACCATCTCAACTTGCACTTACCAGATGACCCAGCCATCTCACTAATGTGAACACCTGTCCATGCAAAAAAATACGAGTGCATATTTATGGCGGCTTCGTTCTCAATTTCCACCAAATAGA